CCACCATCAATGTATGAGAATCCCAATCTCTCCACATCCTTACCAGCATTTGTTATTTTCTTTTTTATTGAACTTTGCTATTAGTGCTGGGACAAGATGGTATCTCATTGTTGTTTTGGTTTGCATCTCTCTAATGGCTAATGATTGTGCACATGTCTTCATGTGTTTGTTGTGAGCCTGATAACTTTAATTACAGATATCTTATGTCTTTATAAATATAACATATTTTATTATTACTTATGAACTCTATGTGCCCTTCACCAGTTGTTGTTATGTGCTGTCGAGTCAGACCCGACTCATAGTGACCCCTCCTTGGGTTTCCGAGGCAGTGTCACGATGGAAGTAGGATTGCCCAAACTTCCTTCCGAGTGCCCTTTACCTAGAGGTGTTTATCTTTCGTTTGCTCACTTTTTTTTTTTTTTTTTTTTAGGTTTTAGGGAAAAAGCCAGAGCTTCCAGATGGAGATGATGATGATGATATCAAAGCAGACATAACTAACAGGAAAATGGCTAAACTCTACATGGTGAGTTCAGGGTCACTTAGTTCTTTTGTTTTTACTGGTTTAATGTGGTTGGATAGGGCAGGAACAGGAGGGAGTTTTTGTACAGTTGAAGGTTCCTTTCATGATCCTCAAAGAGAAATGTATAGGTCCAATAGGTTTCTTGCTCCCATGTATTCATTATTCTTTTAACTACTGTTCATTATTTTTGTTTAAAACAACAAATAATAACTGAAGTTATTGCTGTGACATAAATAAAAATGGTATGTTATTGCTGTTCTGGTGCTAACCTAAGGTTGGCAGTTTACACCCACCCAGTGGTACTGAGGAAGATAGGGCTGGTGATCTGCTTTTGTTAAGATTCCAAAAAACCAAACCCACTACCATCATGTCAATTCTGACTAATAGCGCAACCCTACAGGACAGAGTAGAACTTCCTCATAGTCTTTCCAAGGTTGTAAATCTCTATCGAAGCAGACTGCCTCATCTTTCTCCTGCTGAGTGGCTGATGGGTTAGAACCATCTGTCTTTTGTTTAGCAGCTGAATGCTTTAACCACTGCACCATCAGAGCTCCTTAAACAACAACAGTATGGATTAATATATTTTCAGATATTATCTTCAGTAAAATGTTCCCTTCAAAGAGTTAAATGCTTTACAAGCTTTTTCTTAAAAAAATCTTAATAAATGTATAAAATGTTCATGTATAAAAACATTTTATTTAGCCAGAAAGAAGGCTTTCTCTGTTACAAAATAGCAAAGCTATCAAACCAAATAGCAGGGAGGAAGTGGAATGAAAAAAGCCCTGTGCTGTGCATTGGGGTCCTAGAACTTTATTCCTTGATGGCTCTGGGGAAAAACTGGCTTTACGACCTTGGGCAAAATGTAACCATTAAGATTTAGTTTTTTTATGCACAAGGAGAGAGAGAGAGAGAGAGAGAGAGAAGAGGAGAGATTTAATTAGGTAATTACTCTGATTCCTTCCAGCTCTATAATTTTATGGTTTTATTGCTGGTGGGGATGACAAACTCCACAAGATATCCCAGTTAAGGAGATTGCTAAAATGGGACCTGCAAGTGTTCCCTCTGCCCCCTACAATTTTCTACATTTGTGATTAGCAGCAGGTCATAATCTCCCTGCAGAAATCTGTAGTTTCCTCATCTGGAACAGAAAGGAGTTAGATTTGCTGTTCTTTGAGGGACCTTCAGAAGCCCTGGTGGCACAGTGGTTAAACCCTTGGCTGTTAACGGAAAGTTTGTCTATTTGAACCCACCAGCCTCTGTGGGAGAAAGATGAGGCAGTCTGCTTCCATGAACATTTACAACGTTGGAGAAACCCTATGTGGCAGTTCTACTCTGCCCCTGTAGGGTGGTGGTGGTGGTGCTAGTTGTTAGGTGCTTTCGCTTGGGGTGGCCCTATTTTAAGGCCAGGGCCTGAGGTAGACAGGTGCAGAGGGGTTAAGAACAAGGAAGACGACCTTGTCTGTCAGTTTGTCCTCCAGTGGTGGCTTACCTGTTGCTGTGGGGCTGGAGGCTATGCCACCGGTGTTGCAAAATGCCTGCTGGATTACCATTGGCGGATGGGTTTCAGCGGAGCTTTCAGGCTAGGACAGACTCAGAAGAAGGAAGAGGCCATGCACTTCTCAAACAATTGGCCAGTGAAAACCTTATGAATAGCTCTATAGGGTAGCCATGGCATTTGGTTTAAAGGATCTTAAACTTTGTGATTTAAATGAAGACTAAATTACGAACTGGTGTAGGTAGAGTTCCTTTTTATAAAGGGGAAGTGGGCTGTTCTTAGATGGCAAAGGGAGACAGGCTTACCATTTCTGCTACTGAAGTTTAACATAAACTACACAGAAATTGTTATCTGAATACTTTGTAGCTGCTTATTTCTTACTACTCTTTCCTGAGCTTTTTAAACTAGCTTAATAAATATCTTCTATTTTGCATCACCCAACAAAACTCTTTTCCTTCTTGGACAGCACTATGGACTGAAGAAATAGTTCAGCGAGGAAAGGTTAATTCTGAAACATGGCTCCCCCTGGTGGAATGATGATATATTGCATGAAACTAAAATACTAACCAAAAAGCAAACTCACTGCCATGGAGTCGAATCCCACTCATAGCGACCCCCTCTTTGGGTTTCCAAGGCGGTTATCTCTGTGGGAGTAGATTGCCTAATCTTCCTTCCCAGGAGTTGCTGGTGGGTTTGAACCGCAAGCCTTGTGGTTAGCAGTCAAATACCTTAGGCACTCCGCCACCAGAGTAATTTCACCATTGGTCAAGGGAGGGCCCTTTTTCATTAATGCACATTAAAATCACCTTCAACTTTTTAAAACCAGCTAAATATTTAAAAAATATATACATTGTAGTCATTGTCAAACCTTAAAAGTCTAGGTAAATAGCAATTTTATTTCTCACTGAGGAAATTTACTTTGATAATTTATACAAAGTATACTTAAATTACAGAATCAACACTGGGAAAAATAGACATTGAAAAAATCTGTAGGCATAAAGTATAACATATCAGTGCCTTGTTCAGCACATGCTTATCTTATCTTCAGTAAAATGTTCCCTTCACAGAGTTAAATGCTTTACAAGCTTTTTCTTAAAAGGCACTCAGTAAATGTTGAATGAATACATGTTAAAATTCAGTTTTCATGTGTGCATATAGTGGGTATAAGACTATTATCCATTTAAAAGAATTGCTACAAACACTGAAAGATAAAAATAATATAAAAATGGTAACTTCTTGCTAGTACTTGCAAAGATCTCAATAAACATTGGATGTTACTGTTTTCACTGTTATTTTCTGGTTTCCCACAGATTTTAGGCACTGTGTCTAAACAACTTTGTTATTAATAGTTCTTTTATTACAAAGAACTTTTTTTTTTACTTTTGAAAGACCTTTCTGGGCTCCTGAATATTTTGTTTGGTTTTGTTCTTTGAAATAGCTGTATTGAAATATAACTTGTATATGATAAAGCTCACCTATTTAAAGTATAAAATTCAATAGTTTTTTAATACATTTACAGAGTTGTACAACCATCACCATAATAAATTTCTACCATTTTTATCTTCTCAAAGAAGAAGTCTGGGGCTCATGGTTTTCATATTAGGTTTCAGATGCCAGTGGATCCATGAGAGTGACTTTGGTGGCAGAAGAAAACCCCTTCTCCATGGCAATGCTGCTTTCTGAAGAATGCTTTATTTTGGACCATGGTGCTGCAAAACAAATTTTTGTATGGAAAGGTAAAAGACGCCATTGACGTTGTTGCATTTCAGATTTATAGGCATTTCCTCAGAAGCATAAAGAAAACATTTTTTCTAAATTTTTTTTTTTTTAAAAGCTAAGCTTTCTGAGATATGGTCTATAAATAGCTCCCATCAATGCAGCCATCAAAATTATGGTTGTTTTCCTACAGACATCATTAGCCAAGGATTAGAGGGTTAACGATTTAACTATTTGAGCAATACAAAAAGAGTATTTTTATAAATGGTGTTCATTACTGTATATTAAATCTGTTCAATGTACTATAAAATATTTTGCCACCATCACAGTGCTGTATTTAAATTACAGTTGTGTATTTTTGATATGCAAGTATTTCATAGTCGTATCTGTGTTTCTCTTTAATTTGCCTTATACTTTAGGTAAGGATGCTAATCCTGAAGAGAGAAAGGCTGCAATGAAGACAGCAGAGGAATTCCTAGAGCAAATGAGTTATTCCAGTAATACCCAAGTACGTGGCAAAGTGAACTGGCTAGAGAAAAATAAACACATGGAGACCATGGCATCTCCATAAAATTCTTGAAAGAATTTAACTTAAAGTAATGTATGCATGTGAAGTCATTTTTCACATGAATTTGTGCAATCTCAGGTATCTATATTCCTAGAATTTAATCTGTGTGTGGGACAGAATTTTGCAGAAGAGATCAGACTCTCAATAAGGGTGAATGAGGAGAAACAGAATCCATCACTTCCTCCACAACCTTTAATTCAAGATAATCAACCACAGCTGAATTAACTAAAAGCACTTATCAGTGATTCCTTACAGCAAAGTGTGCAGACATAGACTAAAACTCAGATAACATTTGGCTTCATCAAGATCAACCTTGACATTGGCCAGTTACTCGTTTCCTTTCTGAATCTCTCAGCCTTGTTTGCTCTCTTCATTGGTATGTGCTGGCACAAGTAACACAATGAGATAATTTCTTCCAGGTCACAGACTTCTTGTGAACTTAAAGCAAAAAAACAAAACAAAAAAAACCACCAGTCTTACCTGATTTGCAGTGATACATGTGAAAGAATTTTTTCTCATCTCAAACATCTGACTCTTGTGGCAATACCTTAAGTTGTGAGGGAAAGCAAGACTGGATTATTATAGCTTCATATTTGATAATTTTCTCTTTTTTTCATTCATTTTTTAAAAGGATACTCTAGCATCTGAGCTAAAATCTGTAATCACAGAAACGTAGACAGTATTTTCATTATCAGTAAAATCTTTTCTCCACTACTACATTATTTTCCCTCAATCCCTTAATTCCCTGTTTACTATTATGATTTTTTTTTTAAATTTCAGATTCAGGTTCTTCCGGAAGGAGGTGAAACACCAATCTTCAAGCAGTTCTTCAAGGACTGGCGAGATAAAGATCAGAGTGATGGCTTTGGGAAAGTGTACGTCACAGAGAAAGTGGCTCAAATCAAGCAAATTCCATTCGATGCCTCACAATTACATAGTTCTCCGCAGATGGCCGCCCAGCACAATATGGTGGATGATGGTTCTGGGACAGTGCAGGTAGTAACCTGGCTTTGCTTGTTTGCTTGTTTTTATCAAGCTCATTTATGCCAGTGTACATGACACTGTAACTTAGGCAACTGTAAACTTTACAAAATGCAAATTTTACTTAATAATGAAGATGGTTCAAGACTGCATACTAAATCATATGATTTAAGTCTGGAAGAGAATTTGTGTGATCTTCAGTTTACAAATATGAAGTATGAGATTCCAAGAAATTGGTAATTGTTTTCAAATCACCTCATTATCATATCATCTTAGAGACTAGACAGTGGAATCCAACTGTCTTGTTTCCAGTCCAGGATTGTTCCTGCTCTCAGAAAGCCCATGTCTGGGATGAGCCAGTGAAGGTGTGTTGTGCTATGAATGTACCAACTACTATTAGCTTGTCTACCTACCTTGATGTATAGGATATTTGTTCACAAAAACTAATTGGGCATGTGTTACATGTTGAAAACAGTTACGTTCTCTTTTTCAAAAAGAGCACTTGAAATGAATTTGTTGATTATTTCATTTTAGAAAACAAATGATAAAATTCACCTGCTCATTCTCTCTGATTCAAGACTTCTCACACCCAAGCTACTCTTTAGTCATCTGACTTACTGAGAACTGGGTAATGTTACTTTCCATTCAATGATATCTTCATGGCTCCCCATGTTGTTGTTGTTATGTGCCATCGAGTTGGAGCAACTCATAGCGACTCCTCCTTGGGTTTCCGAGGCAGTATCACTGCGGAAGTAGATTGCCCCATCTTCCTTCTGAGGAGTGGTTGGTGGGTTTGAACCACCAGCCTTCTGGTTAGTAGTCAAGTGCCTTAGCCACTGTGCTACCAGAGCTCTCCATGTTGTTGTTGTTGTTTGCTGTCGAGTCGGCCCCGACTCATAGTCTTCCTGAAAACCTTGATATTCAGCCATACCCTGAAGGCATCCGTGATTTCACACTTACCTTCCTTCCTGCTTCACCCTTCCACTGCCTCCAGTGGCCTTCTCCACCACCTGGCTAACATCCTTACCCCTCCTTACTTACTCATTCAAGCCACAAGCCATACCTCATCCTAAATGCCTGCTGTCTGCTGAACTAGCCTTTTCTGTGCTCATAAATGGCCATAGTCTGTGCTGAACCCTTAAATGGTATTTTTCACAGAATTTATCATATAGGTATCACAGAATTGTTCATTTACTTAAAGGTTTCCCCTATCAGACCTCTCAGTTCCTTGAGGGCAGGAATTACATATTTTATTTCTATATTCCCAGGGCCTGCCGCATGCCTGGACCAAAGAATACAAAAAAAAAAAAAAGAAAGAAAAGAAAAGAAAAAAACCTCACTTCCATCAAGTCGATTCTGACTCATAGTGACCCCCTTTGGGTTTCCAAGGCAGTACATCTTTATGGAAGTAGATTACCCACTCTTCCTTCCATGGAGTGGCTGGTGGGTTTGAACCACCAACTTCCTGGTTAGCAGTCAAATACCTTACATATTATGCCAGCAGAGCTCCTGGACCAAAGTATACACTCAAGAAATTTGGGAGATACTTTTTCCTCTTTTCAAAGACATGAAGTGTGAATCTAAGCAGGGAAGGGGTTTTGAGGGTGAGAGATGCCAACAGAGAAAGTCACCAGTGCCCCTTAGGGTTAGTTGGAAGGGTATCTACTTCTGGGCCTGAGTCTTTTTGGCTCCAGTGTGAGGCATCCTCTCCTGAGACTCAGCATAGGTGGCGCAGCTTGAGGGCCAGTGGGGCAGACTTGACTTGGCTCCTCAGTGCTGGCTATGTGCCAGGCTGAAATCTCAATCTTTGGCCACAGGATCGCTGAGATGTCTTCCTCCTATGCTGTCCCAGGGCTTCTGACACTCAGGGGCTCTGACGGCTCTTCGGTTTAGTGAGGCAGTGCTGCCCTTTCTCCTGTGCTTACTGGATGGCTTGAGAAGATTTCTCTCTGGAAGTGCTGCATTGCTCTCTCCACTAGCTAATTGCCACATGTCACGGCAAAGGCTCTGCTGAGACCCAGGCAGGAAGAGGGTGTTTGTGAGTATATCAGTGTCTGGCAGCCCCTCATTCATATGTTACTCTCTTGTTTCATTTACACAACTCTCATTTCTCCAAACTGAGTGTCTTTAATCTGTGATGAGGATGAGGAGATAGAATAAAAACTGGTTCTGCCTGCTTTTATCCCTTGTCATACCCTTCCAGTCTCATGCCTGGGTGGTCCCTTTTCAAAAAAGGAAAAAAAAAAAAAAAAGGCATTCTTATTTGGTCAAAATCTGCCAACTTTTGACTGGGAAAAAATTATAGTCTCATGTCTTCAAGACCACCAGCCAGTCCTCGGAAGGAAGATGGGGCAATCTACTTCCGTAGTGATACTGCCTCAGAAACCCAAGGAGGGGTCGCTATGAGTAGGGTCTGACTCAACGGCACATAACAACAACATGTCTTATAGCACCAGGAAAAAGAAAAAAAATACACACTATTATCTCATTCCTGATGAAAACTTTTTATTATAAAGTTGAAATGTCCATTTTTCCACTAGAGTGCCATGCTATTTTTACCAATTGATTAATCAATAGGTATTTATAACCAATAGGCTCAGAGCAGAACTAAATACTGTGGTGGATACAAAAGAAATATAAGCACTTCTAAAGTCAATAAACAAATTTCCAGATTGATAACACTCTTTCACTTTGCTTAATTTTTAAACTGGTCAGAAAAATAATTTAAAAGTTGGTTATTTCCTATCTGGAGCAAAGAAGAGTGAAGGAAACAAAAGACTGAAGGAAAAAATTAGTCCCTAAGACTAATGGCCAATGCAGCCTCTTTTAGCCTTAGTAGATGATTCCCAGCAACTACTACCTGCCATTCTGATCAGGGACACAGTAGACACAGTTAGAATGGGAGAAAAATGTAGAACAAAACTCAGATTCATAAAAAAGACCAGACTTACTGGACTGATAGATACTAGAGGAACCCCCAAGATTATCACCCTAAGGTACCCTTTTAACCTGGAACTGAAGCCACTCCTGGAGGTCACATTTATGCCAATTAATAGACTGGTCTATAAAATAAACAGTAACACCCATGAGGAATGTGTTCCTTTAAATAATCAAATATATGAGGGGAACCGGTCAACATTTATATAAAAGCAAAGATGAAAAGGCAAGGAGGGGAAAGGCAACTAGACAGATGGAAATGGGATAGGTGCAGTGGATTGGTGAGAGTGCAGACATACGATGGGGATTGTAACCAACATCACAGAACAATCTGTATAAATTGTTGAATGGGAATCTAATTATCTGTGTAAACTTTCATCCAAAACATAATAGAATATTAAAAAAAAAAAAAAAATACTGAAGAGACAGGAATAGTGCTAGAAAGCAGCCCTTGTCCACCAAAAGACTTGTACAAGAATGTTCATAGCAGCACTATTCATAATAACCAAAACTGAGAAAAAGAGTTTGTTATTATAGATGTAGGAGCCTTGGTGGAGCCCTGGTTAAGTGCTTGGCTGTTAACCAAAAGGTCTGCAGTTCAAACCCACCCATTCTGTGGGAGAAAGATGTAGCAGTCTGCTTCCATAAACAGGTTGATAGCCTTGGAAATCCTATGGGGCAATTCTGCTCTGCCCTCTAAGGTCTCTATGAGCTGGAATCATTACTACGACAATAATTTTTTAAAAAAATTATTCTTAGGTCTAAACTGAAAATTATATAAAGCTTATGAAAAGTATTATAGGATCAAGAAAAGCTTAATTTTGGTACATATTTCAATTCTTTCCAGATTTGGCGAGTAGAAAATAATGGTCGGATCCCAATAGACCAAAACTCATATGGTGAATTTTATGGGGGTGACTGCTACATTATACTGTACACTTATCCCACAGGACGGATTATCTACACATGGTAAGTTTCCCTCTTTGAGAGAATCTCAAGTTTTATAGAGTTCACATTGCACTCCAGAGTACTAAATTGCATGCAGTACATGGTAGAATAATCCTACAGTAACCCCAGTGAGATTTGTATAGAATGCATAAAGATACACTTCATCAGACTTTCTTTGGACATGACTTTGAGTATGTTTTGTACCTGCTGTCCATGGACATGAGGTGATGAGGTGATGAGATAAAAAATCACCCTCTCTATTCTAGGAAAAAGATTCTGATATCCAAAACTGTAGTGTGCTGTTAGTGGACACATAGTTGAATCATCTTTGATGCAGGGAAAAATTCCATCTGGTCTATGGACCACATTTTCTTATTGTTAAAGCTCACCAAGGACCATCCTGAATTGCAGTTGCAAAGTTGCAGCAAGGCTAACTCTGTAAGGGATATGATTTCTGCTTCCATTTCATACCCTAGAAACCTCAAATCAATGTGTTCTTATTCTTTGTGCCTGTGAAATTCAGGTCAATGATGGAGATTATCATGCAGTATATCTATATCTTCTATGAATTTGTGTAATGATTTGACTTAATGGAAGATTTAGTTTACTTAGTTTGAATCAGTAACAAGGGCCTGCTAAAGGTGGGAGGATCAAATGTCCAATCAAGTAATTTAAGTACATATACTATCAAAAGGAGAGGAATTCTGGAAAAGTCAGATAATGTGGTATTATCTAACATTTTTATCTTTCAGGTTTTTATTTGATTTTATCAAGTGTAATCAGCTAGAATAAAGGAGCTCTGGTGGCGTAGTGGGTAAGACATTCAGCTGTTAACCAGAAGGTCAGCTGTTCAAACCCACCAGCAGCTCTGCAGAAGGAAGATAAGGCAATCTACTTCCATAAAGATTTACAGCCTTGGAAACCCAAGGGGGTCTGACTATGAGTCAGAATCAATTTGATGGGTGTGGGTTTTGGGGATGAGGTAAAATAGAATATTGCTGAGAAGACTGGAAAAAAAAGAAAAGAATTCTAAAAAAAAACAGTCTTATAGCTGAAAGGGGTGGGTAGGTGGGTAGAAAGTACAAGGCTGGGGACAGGATCCTACCTTTGCATATGTGGTGATGGCAATCACTAGATGACAGACATGTCTGTCTTCGTAGTTGACCACTTACGCTGCTCAGTGCCATGTGCATAACCAAATTCAGGAGATGAGATGGTTCTTGCTACCCAAAAGGGGGTCTGAAAACCAACAGTATTGTTATTGCCTGGGAGCTTGTTAGAAACAGCAACTCTCAAGCTTCTCCCTGACTTGCATTTTAGCAAGATCCCCAGATGAGTCATATATACTTTAATAATTGACAGGCACTGCCTTAGGCAATAATTCTAAACCCTAGCTGCATATTGGAAAAGCCTGGACAATTTTTCACAAATACAAATACTTGGCCTCTATCCCATACCAAATAAATCAGAATCAGGAGTGAGACCCCTGAGATTCCAATGTATACCACTGCATTAATGAGAACCACTGCACCAAGTGATATTTCTAACCCCACAGCCACTCTGTATCCTGTCACTCTGTCTGCAATGGATGAATTTAGCTGTTTATCTGTGCTTATTAGCAATCTTTTGTTCAGCAGGACCTTTATATCAGCAAAGTGCTAGGTGTTTCCACACACTATTTCTCTTCCTCACAACCAGCCTATTTTCTGAAAAGGGAATCAGACAGTTCATGTAACTTAACCCCAAGTTACAACTCTTGTAAGTGGTGAAGCAATATTTCAAACTTTGGTGTATTGGTCTGTTTAATTTGAAGGCCTGAATGCAGCCACGTAGTGTAGGTATGAAAGTTTTCAGTTTATATGATAATCCGATGCAAGAATTAAAAAGGTTAAGTCCAGGTGGTAGAGTTAAAGATGAAAGATCAAAATTAAATCAGCTTTCAAGTACACAAATTTGTCTTTGAATTTCTGGAACCACTTGTATTCTAAAAGATAAGAGAAAGGCCATGTGCGCATTGATCTCTTTGTTCGGTGATTGAAAGTACCCAGACACTGAACAATGACGCTGATGGATCTCTTGAAGCAGTAAATTCCACTTTCATGGAGCATTTATTTTTAATGAGCAGTAAGTACCACAGATTTATTTAAAAACAAAAACATGTCAGACAAAGTAGATTGCTTTGTTTGACCCTGGTGGTGGTGATGTTATGGACTGTTGAGTCAAACCCAACTCATAGCAATGCCTCCTTGGGTTTCCAAGGCAGTATCACTACAGAAGTAGATTGCCCAACCTTCCTTCTGAGGAGTGGCTAACCACCAGCCTTCTGGTTAGCAGTCAAGTGCCTTAGGCACTATGCCACCAAAGCTCCCAGGCATTGGGTTTCAAAATTAGAGGCAAAGATAGATTGTGTTATGTCTCGATGATAGTGGAAATCTTGGGTAATACATCCATAAAACAAGTTAATTTTAATCTATGTGGATGGGGACATGGTCACTTTGACAAGAACCTGTCAGGAAGAGGTGCTCAAGATAAATACTGAAGTCTTTATTGAGAATGTCAGGAGGCAAAAGTTTGGGGATGTTATTCAGGATATCTGTTTGAAATACTCCAGGGGGAAAAAATCAATGAGTACAAAATAGAAGCAAACACTTGGTGATGTTGTTTAAATTAGTTGGTTGAATTAAATTTTTTTTTTTTTCCTTTAGAAAACAAGCAAAATGTATAAAGGCCAGGAAACAGTAGATGTGGCTAAGACATGACAAGGGGTAACAGGCCCTGCTGAGGACCAGCCCACACAACTGCTTCTCCCCACGGCCATGTGCTCAGGGAGGTGCAGAGAAGGATTTGTCAGCATGATGTTGCTGTTGTTGTTGTTATGTGCCATCGAGTTGGACCCAACTCATAGCGACCCCTTTTTGGGTTTCCGAGGCAGTAATCACTATGGAAGTAGATTGCTTAACCTTCCTTCCAAGGAGTGGCTGGTGGGTTTGAACCGCCAGCCTTCTGGTTAGCAGTCAAGTGCCTTAGGCA